GACAATATTTATGGTTATAGTTGTTTGAGGAGCTGGAGGCTATGGTTTTCTGGGAGGATTATACATTAAGCTACTGCCAGAAAAAAACAAATCTGCCTCTGAGCAGAGGGAATCCTAAGTAAGGAGTCCTGTCTCCCGTGACAGACCTCAACGCGGGCTACTGCTTACTCAACAATAGCCTCCCTCCTTCCCTGCTCACAGCACCTGTGGCAGAGATTCTTTATTCTTGGAGACAGAAGTGAACAGTACCCTTCCTCCAGGGGATGACTTATGAGAAGTATAAACCAATTCTAGCAACTTCTTTCCCCTTTCAGAAGTGGCTGGAGCTAAGCCAGGTCATCTGGATGGGGCTTTTAGAAAGCCTTTAGCTTTCCTAATGCAAATGTGATTTTTTGAGATGCTACAATCTTATTATGGGTGTGAGGATGAAAGAAAACATGCCAAGGACGTATGCACAGAGGGTAAAAAAAAACAAACAAACAAAAAAAGCAGCTTTTAAAGCTGCTTGTTAAATTTTTTTCAGCTCAAGTTTTCTAGTAAATAGGTTAAAAAATTGTAACACCTGATTATCTTAAATGTACAGACACCATACATGCCTTGGGCTCTTTAGAAGATGACATCAAAAAATACATAGACTAGCATATTTAGAGTTACACAATGCACATTTTATAGGTTTAATTTTCATTATTCATTCAATATTTCAAACAAAATGCACATTTTCTTGGTTTAATTTTCATTATTCTTTTTGATATCTCTAACAAAAATCATGTATATTTAAACCAGATTTTCCCGTGCCGTTTTAGAAAACTAGGATTAAAAGTAAAATTTTGCATTCATTCTTTGCTTCAGGCTTTCCAAATAGGTCACTCTAGGGCCCAGATTATTATTTTCACACATAATGGCTCCATTCTATTGTCATTTGTCCCCCTCTTCCATACCCATCTTTGCCCCCTCTACCTGTGGAGGCCACACAAGCATCAAAAACTGAATGATAAGTAAATAGTGAGTAAAGAGAGAGGGACTTTAATACACAGGGATAGAAACTGAGGTAAGAATAAATACTTTTAACCTGCAGTTAACTCTTTAAATCCAATATTTTTTAAGTCATTAATCCTGCAGCTTACTCTGGGAGGGACTCAGAAGGCCACTAGAATAATAGTCTTTATTCCAACCTTTGGGCATAAAGGTCTTCCAGCAAACCTAGCACCATTTGCATTCTATCTCATAAATAAAAGCCAAAGATGCAGTAACATGTGTATGATTTTGGAGCTCTTTAGAATAAAGATGACACAAAATACTAATTTCCACTTCTAATTTCATAGTGCTCAGAGAAAAGGGCTTGGCTTCAGACTCCAGAAAATGTTTATTTGCCAAACATAAAGTGAGCCTTTTTCCAGGAGTATAAATGTTGGGGGCTTCTTCTGGGACTCTGTTGTGTTTGTGAAGTACTCTTTTCTTTCCTACCACTCTGCATATTGAATCATAAATTAGAATGACAGCTGCTAACCATGCAGAAAGGCTTTCCATTTTCAAGAAAAAGGGATTATTTTAATCCACCTCCAAAATGGAATAACATAATTTCATTAACATCTAACTATACCTTGTCCACTAATGGTAATGGATATCATGCTCCTTAACCAGGGTAAAGCACAGAAAACGCTGCTGCCAGATTAAATCTCCCTAAAGGAGCAATGAGAAAAAATATATATCTAATCCATTTATATGAGGAAAAATGACCTGGGGCAGTAATGTTATTTTCTATTTAAGGTAATCTGGAAAGTGGATGGAAACCAGTTAGACAGTAATTTAATATAAGCACAACACAGACTCAGAAATGAACAAATTTATTCCCATACTGAGAACAGTTAAATGGTATCTTAAGCTTGTATTTGATCTGAGAAAATGATTTCCAAAGCCTGGAATATAGTGATCTTATAAACACCACTTCAAAGGTTATTTAGAAATACTTTTCAAAACAAAAATAAGGGACATAGTTCTTTCTTAGTAATTCTAAAAGTCTTAAGAATGCCATCGCTTTAACTTCTAAATTTACAGTTAAAAAAAGACCAAGTTTTTAAAACTTTACTTCTTCAATATAGTAAGTTTTATATAAGTAACATGTAAGTTTATAAAGTTATTTATAAAGTTTCATATAAGTAACACTTTAGATCTCAGAATAGAAAGTTTCCCAACAGACTTTTTATATATTTATGTTTTTATATTATTACATATATATATTTCATCTTTGCCTTAGAAAACAAACGTGTTGCCCTCATAGAGGTGATGTTAAAAAAAGACACATACATCTATTTATAAAACTTGTGTTATTGGTGGTGTTTTTGTTAGTGTTCCAAGGTCCTTCTAGATCTATTGTTTACGCAGGAGCTGTTCTCACTGAAAGTATCGTTTCTCTGCACCCCAGCTAAGTTTCTTCATTTGTAACTCAGAAAGGACTAAAGAAGCGGCAACCACATCATGGGTTGGACAGTAAAATGGACAAGAAAATTAGTCAACTTTTAGCTAAGAGTGTTTTAACAGTGCTTCATAGATATTCAAGATTTGATCCTCAAAGTCTCAAATATTCCAGTATTGAGTCCTTGTCGTGAGGCAAGTAAAACATTTTTTAAAATATTTATGTACACATTGCTGCAATTGAAAAACAACTTCAATAAGTATAAAATACATTTTTAATAAGCTCTTTAAAAGAGAAAAAGAAGCATATTATATACACAATTTTAACCAATCAAAAATAGTTTATAATTGCATTTCATCCACCTTGGTAATTCAAAGTATTCTTCAGTATCAGAATGGACGTTTGCATATAAGCCATCTCCAAAGCCAGAGAATAGATTTGTCCAAATCGCTTTCATTCTTTAGCAGCTACACCTGGTTGCGAAATTGCACCTTGCTCTATTGATAGGCTTTGCTTTTGATCTTGACCTCTCGAGCATACAGTGCTCCCTGCTCATCCAGTTTCACTTTCCATGGTTTTGGTTACTTTTGGTTAATCATGGTCCAAAATTACTACATGGAAAATTCCAGAAATAAACAATTTATAAGTTATAAATTGCACACCATTCTGAGTAGCATGATGAAATCTCTCCCTGCCCTGCTTTAGACCGCCTGGAATTGTAAATTGTCTTTTTCTAGTGTGTCCACACTGTAGACACTGCCTGCTCTTTAGTCACTTAGCTGTCATCTTGATTATTAGATCAACACTTGCAGTATCTCAGTGCTTGTGTTCAAATAATCCTTATCTTACTTCATAATGGTCCCAAAGCTCAAGAGTACTGTGCCAAACTTGTACATTTATCATACATTTAACCTAAGTGTATATATAGAAAAAAACATAGTATGTATGGAGTTTGGTACTATCCCAAGTTTCAGGCCTTCACTGGGAGTCTTGGAATATATTCTCAGCAAATAAAAGGGGACTACTGAGGGATTTTTTCAATGTTTCCCATGGCTAAACTCATGCTTTTACTTTGTCTTTAATTAATGTATGGACCTCCAGAAATTGAACAACTTCCATTAACAAGTTGATTGGTAAGCTTTTGATATAGAAATATTGCATCAATTTGCCACATCAATCTTTTCTGTTTTCTAGAAAAACAGGATGATATATTCTAATTGATTCAGCGATTTCTACTTTAAAATTGTTAAATTATTTAATTTCGTAAACATAAGTGTCTTGTCATCAAACATAATTCAAATAATGCCGGTATTTGCATAGCAAAATGTGACACTTCTTTACCACCCCACAATTGTATTTTCCTTCTCTATGTACTTGATGGTTTTTATTGCTTGTCTCTACTGCCTTTCTCGCTAGTATGATAGGAGATTTCTGTGTACACATTAATGTCTTCTGGCAACGCTGAGTCCCATAATTTTCCTTCAAAGACAACTGAAGCTACAACTATAAATCCACATTTAAGTTAAAATTGTATGATATTAAAATATGGGAGGTAAAACTAAATTTGCACATGCACCGGTAGTGAAAACTCTACCTAACATGTAATCCATCTGTTTGCTGGGTGGAAAGTCTCTCCTGAGAGCAAGGATAAGATATCTTACAATTTGATTACAATGTTAATATAAAACATTGGGTCTCTATTTTATTGAGACCCCCACTCTGGAATTTAAGCAACACATGCAAGATCTGACAGTAAGCTCTGGCACTTGCCAGAGCTGAGATTTGAATTCTGTTGTTGTCCAATTGCAAATTAATTTTCTTTATGCTGTTGGAAGCTGTCTTATGTCAGTGTACAGAGAGTCTCACAATTTTATCTTTATTTGATGCTTTACCTTATTTCCTTCCCCACTGTTTTGACCAAATTCTACATCTCTTTCCTCCATCGTAATTGCTGATATTCTTTCCTAGATCAAATAACCCTGAGGTCCTGCCCTAGTGTGTTCCTTTTCACCTCTTGGAATAAATCTGCTTTCTACATGCTCCCTGGAAGGTGCATCCATTTAATCATTGTTCGAACAAGAACTGGGTTGTGCCACAGAATTAAACATGGTGGAGTTTGCCCTTAGCGTGCTCACAGTGACCTATGAAGAAGCTTAAAATAAAAAAGGAATAGTGCTAAATGCACAGAAGTTATCCAACTAAACTTGACTAATTAGATTGCTTACCAAAGAGGTAACTCTTATGTTGAGCCTTAATGAAAGAATAAGATTTGGCTAGGAAAACTACATGAGATTGTCAGTATTCTTGTTTTGTTTTATTGATGATACCATAAAAATTCCTTCAGAAGCTTTTTTCTCTGCCTCCTTAATTTGAGAAGAGCAAGATATTTTGAGAGTGGCAGGAGTTGAAGTTAGTGAAGGCAGGAATGAGATACTCAGGTTCTCATATGACATGTAAAGGGATTTTAATGTTTCGAAGTAGCCAACATTTTATACTTAGAAAGTTATGGGTTGAATTATTATGTCCCCCAAATAACAAAATATATATTATTATGTCCCCAAAATAAAAAAAAATATTTTGGGGGACATTTTTTTTTTAGAGTTATAATCCAATCTTTATTTAAAAATCTAATCTGCCAGTTTAGCGTTTTCCACCAACTCGGGGAGCTGAAACTTTCACAGGCTTCACATTCTTTTGCTTAGGTGCTGCCTTTGTGGGTGCCTTAGCAGCAGCCATTGCAGTCTTTTTAGATGCTTGCTTAGCCTTTTTTGTTTCCTTGGCAGCCCTGCGGGGTAAAAACACTGATAGCTTGTTCTCGTTGAGCCTTTCCAAAGCCTTCAGGTTTCTGATTCCTCTTGGCCATTATATCAGCAAGAGATGCACCAGTAATGGCCCTCTGGAATTTGACTGCTCGACGCATTCTTTTCTTTTGAATTTCTTCCGACTGTCCCTTTTTGTGCTTTCTTCTGTAGAGGACAATCCAGTTTATCTGCCGAGGATTCCTCTTGGAAAGGAAAGCCGACTCGCATTTTGCATTAATAAACTGGAAAACGTTCCCGTCGGTCCTGGCGTAGCGCCTCCCGTGTCCGGGGTAGATCTTGTACCCGCTGAAATTGCACAGCTCGACCTTCATGGCTGCGGCTCCACGGGAGGAGAAAAGATGGCGAAGAGATCTCCATTTGGAGATAGGGTCTTCACAGAAGCAATCAAGTTTAAATGAGGTCATTCGGGCAAGCTTTAATCCACTATGTCTGGTGCCTTCATAAAAACAAAAAATTTGGAGACAGACATGCATACAGAGAGAGCATCATGTGAAGACGAGGCAGAGATACTGGTGATATACATGAAGACAAGAAACACGAAGGATTCCCAGCAGACCAGCAGAAGATGAGAGAGAGGCCTGGAACCAATTCTCCCTCAGAGCCCTCAGAAGGGAGTAATCCTGCTGACACCTTCATGTCAGACTTAAAGCCTCCAGAACTGTGAGACAATATATTTATATTATTTAAGCCACCCATTTGTGGTACTTTGTTCCAGCGGCTCTTGCAAACTCACCAAGTGCTCAGTAGGAACGTGAGATAATTGGAACTGGCTTTTAAGAAAGATCTAACTATTACTACTGAGTGGAGAATGGACTTGAGATGTGAAAAATTAGAGGTGAGGCTATAATAATCAATCTTTAGTACATCACTGCTGAGTGCCTGATTTAGCACAGTATATCATAGAGGATATGGGGTGGGGGCACAGAGTAATGAATACAAGACAGATTTAGGAAGTAAAATTAACCCACCCAGTTTTAGCAATGACTTACAGCTTATAAAATCAATATGAAGTACTGTCCTTGCTAATAAATAGTAAAGGAAGGAATCTCAAATCCAAAATCTCAAATGGCACTGAGAAGTGGATAGAAAGGAAAGAAATGAACAATTTGGAAACATTCTTGAGTTATATATTGTTAAGTGAATTCCTGTGCTGCAGAGTCTTTCAAAGACTTAACACGCCAATATATGGTGATTGTACCCAAGGTTCATTTTCAAATATTGGGAAATGAAGTACGCAGCATTTCCCAATATTGTTGATAATAAAATCCTATTTTTTATTACATGACCCTCTCCAAGACCTAGCCTTATAAAGAACAACAACAACAGAATGAATTGTCCAGTGAGAAAGGATTTGCAATTGAGAGATCATTTGTGACCTAAAGAGAGGGCTCTCCATGGATGAAAAGTAGATTTATCAACTTGGGTTAGAAGTCCATCAGAAAAGAAGACAAGTACAGATAACTTTCACTATAGTAAAACAGTGGTCTGAAGTAGGGGGAAGAGAACGGGGACAGTGATTGACAATAGTGTAGAAACACTAGAGTTATACACAGAAGTGGAGAACTATGTTGTGGGGGTTGTTCATTTGTTTTAAAAAGGAAAATACGTGTTTGACAACAGAGAAGTTAGATGAAATAGAACCCAGTGCTCTGGTAATGTGAAGTACAGAGAACTTCATTCTATGTGACAGTGTGATTTAACTCAATTTCTTTGAAGTTTATGTTGACAATGCTTTCTCCTGGAATTTAGACCTTGTCTCAATATGATGAGTGGGTACTAAGTACTGATAACTTTTTTAATATTGAGTATTTCACAAGTGCACACATTAGTGTTGAAGGGTTTCATAGACAAAAGAAAAATGAAAATGGGACTTGTATTTCATTTTCTGATCTTCACCTAATAAATGTGTGTATATATATATGTGTGTATATATGTATACACACACACACACACACACACACACACACACACACACACACACGCATTTATTTATTTACCATAAATCATTGTTTGTAGCTATCAGATCACCACTATTGCAATGACTATTATGCCTTCACAGGCAATTTAAAGGCATTCCAAGTCTATTTATAAATAATCTTGCACTTATATTTAATAAAACAACTTAGCTACAAGTACCACTGAAAACTACCAAATGCTTTAATAATGTATGTTAGAATTCTCTTCTTCATTTCTTTTTCTTGATTTTGAAACAGCCAGACCCTATTTTGGAGTTTGCATTACCTATACCACTTATTCACTACTTAAACTGATTTGTCTGTATTTATCATTTGACAGTTTCTGCCAGGTTTCCCAGCAGGACTGAAGATCCTTTGAGGGCGAGTGCATATTTATATGTGTAAATATCAACACCAGTAGCTCCCACTAAAAACGGCACACAACAATAAAAATTTATTCAAGAAATGGTAATTAAAAGATACCTAAAATCAAAGATTTATGAAGGTTAGGGGATATAGCAATTAATAAAATGGCTCTTTTTCCTGAGGAGTTCTTTATCTGGTTTAGGGATTCCAGATTTGCCATGCATAAGAGTTATATGGGGACCTTGTTAAAAATGAAGATTTCCTATTCTTAACCCAAAAGAACAGTGTAGTAGCCAAAACAGGAAAGCATCACAGGAAATAATTACAGGGAATAATGTAATATAATAAGGGCTTCAAGAGTGATATGAGCACATTTCAAATGGAGCACAGAAAAACAACTTCCAGATAGTAGCTAGATTTCTTTGTTCTTCTGAATTCTCTGTACTAATCTTTGTAGTCAGCTGCGTTCTATGCATTTATTGTAAGAATAAAAATAATAACACAAACAAAAACAGCAATAGAAAATTGGTAGACTATTTCCCTTCTATTACATGCCATTTGTCAGCCAAATTATAAAATAAAATCTGACAAGAAGTAAGCTAAAAAGTTTTGAATTTTTTTGAAATATAAGCTTTTATTCACTAGTGTTCACAAGCAACCTTGGTCTGAGAGTTATTATGGCTCAAAATATTTTATAGACACTACAATTATTGCTTCAGCTTTATTTCACATTTCAAATTTATTTATTTGTAATTTATAAATGTGGAACTTAAATAATTTAACCAGAAATAATGCTTGTTAGGTATGAAATATCCAAATACTTCACTGCCAATTAGTCATTAGCTACTGTCTCAAGCCCTCTGAGTGCCATGGTGCAGCTCAGCACCTGCCTTGTGACTTCACTTCCCTGTAATCCAACACATAAAACTAATGCTTGGCAAAGTAAGGCGTTCCAGGACTCTGTGTAAAGGATTCTGGCCAACGTTCACTCAAATTGGTTATTTCCCCAGCTAAACCTGCTGCTGAATATTCAACAGCAGGTTTAGCTGGGGAAATATAAGTATGATAAAATACAAATGGAGGTTGGTCGTATGGATGAATGGATGGATGAATGGATGGATGGATGGATGGATAAATACAGATACAGAGAAAAACAGACTGATCTTGCTAGAATCATAACAATATGCAACCAAAAACACATGGGAACTGTTTTTAAACAATTAAGACTGTGGTACTGTTCACCCTTTGAATTATTGCGTTTAGTTATTTCAGTGTACTTGCAGATATATGTTTACTTTTAAAAAGTCAACTTAATAAAACATCTAAACATTTTAACCACCTTAAACTATCCCAATTCTATTTGTACTATATCCCCTGCATTTGAACATAATTGCTTTCATATTGCTTCCCATATCTTAAACCTATGACTTCTCAGAACCTCGAAAACTTTTAGAAATTGATAGAGGTCACAAAAAAGGAAAGGAAGAAGGATATGAACAGACACTTCTCAAAATAAGACTTTTATGCAGCCAACAAACATATGAAAAATAGCTTATCACCACTGGTCATTAAAGAAATGCAAATCAAAACCACAATGTGTTACCATCTCATGCCAGTAAGAATGGCGAGTATTTAAAAGTCAGGAAACAACAGATGCTGGTGAGGCTATGGAGAAACAGGAACATTTTGACATTGTTGGTGGGAGTGTAAATTCGTTCAACCATTGTGGAAGACAGTGCAGAGATTCCTCAAGTATCTAGAACCAGAAATATCATTTGACACAGTAATCCCATTACTGGGTATATACTCAAAGGATTATACATCATTCTAATATGAAGACACATGCACATGTATGTTTATTGCAGCATTATTTATAAAAGCAAAGACTAGGAACCAACCCAAATGCCCATCAATGATAGACTGGATAAAGAAAATGGGGGACATATATACCATATTATGCAGCCATAAAGAAGAATGAGTTAATGTCCTTTGCAGGGACATGGATGAAGCTGGAAACCGTCATTCTCAGCAAACTAACACAGGAACAGAAAACCAAACACTTCATGTTCTTACTCATAAGTGAGAGTTGAACAATGAGAACATATGGACGCAGGGTGGGGAACATTATACACAGGGGCCTGTCAGGGAGTGGGGAACAAGGGGAGGGAGAGCATTAGGACAAATATCTAATGCATGCGGGACCTAAAACCTAGATGGCGGGTTGATAGTTGCGGCAAACTACTATGGCACATGTATACCTATTTAACAAACCTACATGTTCTTCTCATGTATCCCAGAACTGAAAGTAAAATTTAAAAAAAAAGAAAAGAAATTGATAGAGGTCTTGGTAAAATGAGAGTTATGTATTGGTTTTACCATTTTCCCTCCCGTCATCTGTGAATAACCATTGGCTTTAACTATACATGAAATAGAAAAGTGAAGTCTTGCTTTCAACAGAGGCAAAGACATTTTTTGTGCATTCCATTTCATTAAATTGACACTTCATTTAAAGTCTTTAGCTTTTAATAGAGATGCAGAGATTTTGTTGAAATGAATAGGCAGATAAAATTTTATATTGAAAGAGATATAAGTTAAGACCTGCAGGAAATTAGTGCTTCAGAGTAAGTTCGGCATATTTTAAGGAAGAAAAAAGAGGGTGATTCAGATTTTATCAGAAACTTCTAAGAGATTATTTGAGGAAAGAAACCAGTTTTTATGCAGAGTATATATGCTTATAACAAGGGTAATTAAGCCAATTGAACGGGTATAAGTGGAGATCAAGAAAAAAATGTCCATAGGGTGAATGTATTCTAGGATGGTAATAGACAATTAATCATGGTCAATGTTAGAGATCTTCAAGCTTTAGGATATTAAATTACTTATGCTAATTAATGCAGTTGCATAAGCCATTGTTTGAATAGACTGATACTTCTTTTCCATTAGATTGGACTGATACTTCTGTCCATTAGATAGACTGATACTTCTATTCCATTAAATAGACTGATACTTCTACCCATTAGATAGACTGATACTTC